TTCTAAGGGATGAAAGCCTCTGCAGTTTCTAAAAACCCCCACAAGGGAATTTATTTGGTGAGCCTTTCTAGGCAAGAAATTTCACAACAAATGTCACCACTGAAAAAAACCCTATTCCTTGTCACCTCCCCTTTTTACTTCAGAAGGACCAGGCAGCTCCAGCAAAATCTTCCCTGACCACCTTAGAGACTGAGGAATTCATACAAGAGGATGGTTCTTCTATGCCATTTTTTAATAATTGAAATACAGTGGATGTCACCCCAACATGAGAAGGGGGTTAGTCAGGTTAAGTTCATAGTTTTCAGTATAATGAGTCAGACTATTACTCAGTCAAGCCAGTAAGCAGGTCCCTGCTGTTCAGTGCAGAATACTACAGGAAGCAAGTGTAAAGTCTGGAGCACCAGCATAGGGTGATCACTCTACCAGAAGGGCAGGTTGCCATTATCTTCAGCAGCTACCTTCAAGCATCTTCAAAGGTAGCTTCACAGAACACATGCATAGGGGGCTTTAATTCTCTTCAGAGCTATCTGAGACAACAGTTAACAAAGGGATCTGCTTAAAGTACCTCCCAGTACCAGGAAGAAAGAAGAATCAGGCATGTCGCATAACATTTGGGTAAAGATCACAACTTTACAAAAAAAACCTTTATCATTTACAACAACCAACTTTTGTTAACCAGAAATTTTACTGGCAGCAGGCCAGTACTTTCCTCAAACAAAAACAACAGTATCCTTTGAGCAGGAGAACTGAAAAGCAGAGACTGCCAAAAGGAGGAGGATGACAATCCAAGAAAAAGATCAGGCTTTTGCACAAGATCTTGGGAACAGTGAGGATTTATACTGAAAAAAATTGTTGAAATTAATGCAACAAAATTTAAGAAAGACAACTGGGACAGAGACTCTTAAAGACTGTAACAAGACAGCCCTGAAGTCTCACGTGGTGGACTTAAAAATCTGCCAGGCAGCCTTAAGCTTTATGAAGTACTGCCTAGCTTTTCAACTTCAAGAGAATGCTTTTGAGAAGCAGCCAGCATCCTTGAATCCCACTTAACATGAAAGCAGAACGGATCCAGTGTTTTGTAAAGTCTTGAGGTACAAAGTGTACCAGCAACGTTTGACTTTTTCTACAGTAAATTTCTGATGACTCTGGCATCAGTATGCTTTTCCACAACCTTCTGCCTCATGCGCAAACCAAGAAGAAAAAAACCACATTCAAATTACACACATACTGGAAAGTTGTTAATATGTTTTCCAATACAGAATCTCAAGGGACTCTTTCTAAAATATCTAAATATGCAGAAAATCCAGTACTTATTATGTTTTTAATTATCTAGCAGATGGGACAGTAGTCTAAAGGAAGCAGTACAACAAAACCCAACAGAGTAACTAGTACACCTCCTGTACATTTGGACTGACCTAGAATACAGGCAGCCAGGATAGTTGCTACAGAACCACAGCAAAATATTTTTGCATCCTTATATTAATAAGCATTGCCTCAGGGCATTCCAAATGCTAGAGAATTGGCTATGGGTTGTGAGGCATTTGCAAGTCATTTTGCAGACAAAGTCTTGTCACTCCGCTGTGATCTTCCAGCCACACTTGATACAATAAGGGAACTGGAAGCCCCTTGGCTGTCTTCTGGTCCAGTGTTGGACCATTTCAGTCTGCTCTCCCAGGAAGAAGTTGACAGGACCCTGGCGGCTGTGAAGCCCACTACATGCCTCCTTGACCCTTGGCCATCGTGGCTGGTGAAAGTCTGCAGCAATGAGGTGCAGACTCCTCTGAGGGAGATTATCAATCTGTCCCTATCAATGGGAACCTTCCCAGAGGGATTAAAGGAGGTTGTAGTCTGCCCCTTCCTAAAAAAACCCTTCTATGGACCCTATGGTCCTTACAAACTAACGCCCAGTGTCTAATCTACCGTTCCTGGGTAAGGTAGTGGAGAAGGCAGTAGCAACACAGCTCCAGGCTTTCCTGGAGGATGCTAATATCCTGGATCCCTTCTAGTCCGGTTTTCACCCTGCCCACGGGACAGAGACGGTGTTGGTCACCTCAGTGGATGACCTCTGGAGACACCTGGATCGAGGTGGATCGGTGCTGCTGATACTCCTTGATCTATTTGCAGCGTTCAATACGGTTGACTACGATCTGTTGACCCACCGCCTTGCCGATGTGGGGATAAGGGGGCTTGCCTTGAAGTGGCTGACCTCCTTTCTCCAAGGTCAGGGACAGAGGGTGGTACTTGGGGGGGGGGTTCTCAGCGACACCAGCTAGAATGTGGTGTGCTGCAGGGGTCGATTTTCTCCCCAATGCTGTTTAATATCTACATGCACCCCCTCGCCCAGATTATCCAGAGGTATGGGCTGGGTTGTCACCAATATGCAAACAACACCCAGCTCTATCTACTGATGGATGAACACCTGGACTCTGCCCCAGAAAATCTGGACAGGGCATTACAAGCCGTGGCTGGTTGATTAAAACAGAGCAGACTGAAATTGAATCCATTGAAGATGGAGGTCCTGTACCTGGGTCACAGGGGACTGGGATCGGGCTTCCAACCTTTGATGGGACCTTATTGGTGCCAGTGCCGAAGGTGAAGAGCGGGGGGGGGGGGATTCCCGGGCGGGCCTCACTAACTATGGAGGCCCAGGTGGCTGCCACCGCCAGGTCTGCCTTCTTCTATCTGAGACAGATCAGACAGTTGGCCCTATATCTCACTCCCCGGGATCTGGCTACAGTGACCCATGCAATGGTCACTTCCAGATTAGATTATTGTAATTCTCTCTACGTGGGGCTGCCATTGATTCTGCTCTGGAAACTAAAGCTGGTGCAGAACGCAGCAGCACAGGTACTGATGTTGCTGCCTGTGCGGGCCCACATTCGCCTGGTGCTGCGCGAACTGCACTGGCTGCCTATTGAGTACCAGATCCGTTTCAAGGTGTTGGTGCTTACCTTTAAAGCCCTATACGGCCAGGGGCCCGCATATCTGTGAGACCGCCTCTCCCTCTCCTGAAGGGCTTTACGATCTGCCAATCCACATCTTCTCATAGTCCCTGGCCCCAGGGATGTCCACCTTGCCTCGACTAGGGCCAGGGCCTTTTCAGCCCTGGCCCCTACCTGGTGGAATGAACTCCTATACGAGATCAGGGCCCTGCGGGACCTTTGACAGTTCCACAGGCCTGCAAGACAGAACTCTTCCACCAGACTTTTAACTAAGGCGATGGACGTCCCTCCCTCTTTACTGGGCCTCCCCCCAACTGGTCAGAACTGCATATCAGAGTTGGCATCTGTGAGGTTTTAATGCCAATGACAACAGCACCTGATGAAGGCCACTGTGGTATTTTGCTAGTGTTTTAATCGTATTAATTGTGTATATTGTATTTTTATCAGACTTGATGTAACCCGCCCTGAGCTTGCCATGCAAATTGGGTGGAAAGGCAGCATAGAAGTGTTAAATAAAATACAATAACTATACAAAAGAACCAGCTCTCTTCCCTCCCATTACCTCTGTCCAGAGTCAAATGGCCACTATCCTCCAACTGCAGCGCAAAACCTGCAGCTACTGAGGGCAGACAACAATACTGGTGGCTAGGATAATGGACTAGATCCATCTTAATAAAAGCGCTACAGAAAAAAATGCTGTGCAAATGTAGGTGATCACGTTATTCCCAACTGAAATAGATGCAATAAAATCTGTTAAAACATTGTATTTCATAGCTTGTTGGAATACTTGGCAAGCTTGGTTGGAGAATGCAGGCTAAATAAAAATACTGTGGAACTGAATCTAGCTGGTCTGGAAAACTATTAGCAAGGAGAAACAAATAAAGACCTAAAAACGATTGCATTCTGGGCTGAGCACTAGAGCGCATTACATTTTGGTTTTACACATACCACTGCATAATAACTGATTTAGTTTTTTCCAGCGTTTCTATCACACATCTCATTCATTTGATTAATTTTTTAGTTCTGCCTAAGAGATAGCTGCATAATAAATCAACGAGACTTTCTGACATCAGTATGTGCCAGAACTGCCTTCTGCTGGCTGTTGAACTGTTTCAAAGGAAGTGCTGCTATGACTCCTCCAAGAAACACTATCATTATCGGGACAGCAGGGGGGAAAAATGTGAACCCATAAATCAAAAACAACAATGCTCAAAGCAGTTTCCACAGTGACCCGGGTTAATACACTGAGCTGAACCACTGTACACAAGTGCATGTCAATTTTTCACTTAGGACCAAGATTCTATTTCTTGCCTGTAATAGATTTCTATTAAATATTTATAAATTATGCAAACTAATTTCCTTTTCCAGTAGGTTAGACAGTACTTTCTTGGGAATAAAATGCTTATAGTGATCAACACAAAACTGGCTTTCAAGATACACTGTGGTACAGTGATTAGAGTGAGGGACTAGTATATGGAAGACCCAGGTTCAAATCCCCACTCTTCCATGGAAGCTTGCTTGGGCCAGTCATGCCTTCTCCACCTAACCAACCCCACAGGTTTGTTGTGAGGATAAAACGGAAGAGAGGAGAATGATATAAACCACTTTGGGTCAGGCAGAGTATAAATAAAATACAAAAACACATTTCAAATTAAAAGGTAAACAAAGATTTTGGAGACTGTCAGCTAGCATATGTAACTGACTGTCTTACGCTATGGATGCAATCAAGATACCCATAATTGTTTTTTGAAAACTCCCCTGATTGAAAGCTGCATATGCAAAAAAATTTCAATTGTTAAAAAATGTTACACAATCGAAGGCCTAAATCAATGAGGAGGACAAAATTCTTAAGTCTTTTAAGCATGACAAGCCAAATGCCTGTGGGAAAACTTTCACTGACATTAAGGTAAGGATTACAAACTAATTTCTAAGTAAAGGCTAGAAGTCAAAGATGAGCATACAAAATACACCTTCAGTATGTGTGAATTATTACAAAAGCATACATATATGGTTTGAAAGAACTACTTAATAAAGCAAGTTTTAAAAATCAAAGCTTACTAAGTATCTCTCCTCTTGTCTCATACTTGGTGTGCGGATCATGTGGTTCTGCTCCCCCCTCCAGTCTCCAAATCGGCGGAAAAAATAGTTAGATAAAAAACGGTTGATGGGATCTCTAATGATATTGATGTATACTGGTTGGTCTCCTCCAAACCTGGAAAATGAAAATCAAAATATGACATCAGAATATTGCAGATACCTGCTTATAATGTTTCAAAATCCATTGTCTGAAGGCTTTTTCTAAAGAATAAAATTAAAAGCATCTGCAACATCGGGAACTTGATGAATTGTGATTACACTGAAGCCAAGTATTTTAAGGCCTTCTTAAGCCTGAGGGCTACTAAAGCAGACATTATATAAACCAGAGGAATCTTAGTATTAGAACCCACAAGGCAATGCACTGAATTATCTTCCCACGAGGCATCAGAAAGCTAATACTGGAGATAAACTTGTAATCGTGTGGCTATAGTTAATCTAACCTCTGTGTGTCCATCTGCAAAGTAAGTTGTTAACAATTGAGCTCAGCATGATACTTACCTACCAAAACAGTTCAATTAGAAGTTGAAAGAAAGCTTTAAAATAATACACTTTTTTGGGGTGGGTGGGGGGACACCATGTTAAGGCCTGTATTTCCTAAATATATATTTATCATCCTTCCATATGTTGAAAGGGTGAAACCTACTCTTTAATATATTATTTCGTGCTGAAGGGGAATATTTAATTGAAAACACGAAGAATTTTTGGCATTCCTTGTTTTTGAAAACAGGGGCCCATGTACAGAAAGAACAATAAGAACCAAGGGTTTGGGGTTTTTTGCTTTCAGGTAACAACTGATTTATGGTGTTTTCAAGAGATGTTCACAGGCAGGTTTTCAAGGCCAGAGATGTTCACAGGCGGTTTAGCCATTGACTGCCTCTGTTTCACAACTCCTAGTATTCCTTGGTGATCTCCCTTCCAAACACTAACCAGAACTGAACCTGCTTAGCTTCCAAGATCGGACGAGACTGGGCTAGCATGGACTATCCAAGTCAGGGCTTTGGCCAAGTAGCAGACCGGTATTGATAATCCAGACTTGAAACATTTGCACTACGTGACAATAAATAATAAGAAGCCAAACTGATGTCCAATTCAACATAACCCTTAGTTATTCATAAGAAGGTTTCATTGGTCTTCCATATAACTGCTGTGGCACAAAATATTTATTCATTTATTTAGTGATTTTTATTCCACCCTCTCCAAAGTGGGCTCAGCACGGATCACAACAATCAAGTCAAAGACTCATTACAATAATCACATTAAAATCATTAAAACAATAAACAATAAAATTGGTAGCAACTATATAAATCTGTTGGGGCCACAAGGTGGAATCAGAATGCGCCCTTTCAGCGGGTTGGGAACTAGAGCAGGGAAGCCAACTAAGACGAAGCAAACCCACCGCCTCAACCAACAATGACTGATAGATAGAAATAGGAAACTCATACCAATCACTGGTACACACATGGAGAATTTTGTTGAGGTGAGAGGGTGGATTAAAAAAAGGCTTGAAATATGTGAAAACAAAAGTGCTGTAGCATAAATTTTAGTTCCAATGGCATCAATGGGATAAAACCTGCAGTTTAAGTGTGCACCTATAAATAATTAAGTCCACCAATCAATCACCTACAAATCCTTTAAAATGGGTCATCTTCCAAGTTTGGTCTTGAAAGTGACCTGGCTGCTTAAACAGACAATATGTGCTCAGTTTCTTTCTCACTAAGCTTCTACTAAATAAAGAAAGGAGTGCTGGTTGTAACACAGACAATGAATATACCACAAATGAAATCACTTAGGTCAATCAGTTCAGGCATGTTTAATTCCCACTAAATTCAACAAGATAATGTGGTAATCCTAAACACACTCACTTGAGATTAATTGGGCTGTCCAACATTTAAATACCATGACATTTAGAGTCGCCTAGCTTTTTTTGGATTGTACTCGGGATGTTCTGCACTAATGTCATATTAATGAAATACAAAATCATTCAAAATAAATTACAATCTGGATTTGCAATTTGAAACACAACTTTATTTGACAATCAGACAGCTGTGGACTTCTTTCAAACTTTTGCTCCATTTGGCATTTGTACCAATTTGTAGATTTTCCAGTAGAAGAGCTTGAAATATTATAAGCTGTGTTTATATGATTATTCAAAAAGTTCACGACTGAACAAAAATTTCCATGTGAAATAGCAGCTGTCGGACAAAATGAATACTGAGGATTCCAACAAACCAGATTTCAAATATATTAACAACATAGATCAGCAAAACAGAATGACTCAAAACCACAAGGTATGGAGAATGAAACCCTGCAAGTCACATGCATCTCCCAGTCTACAGAGGTGGACGGGATGCTTTGGCCAATCAAGAAGAACAGGGATTCACTGTACGTTTGCTTGTGCTTCCCCTAATGCTACCCCCTTCTGAATGATGCCTTGAAGTCCCTCACAGTAAGGCAGTACAGGGAAAACCCACTACAGATTTGTCTTTGTTCCATGAGGGAAGGTGCTGGGACCAAACTGGAGTAGCAAATCTCTCTTATAAAACTGCTTGGATGGGTACAACAGGACATAAGACATCATCCTATAAAGGGGTAAAGAGAAAGAGGCATTACAGAAATTTCTATTCCCCATATTTTCATCAATTCAGTTCCCTGAGGAGGCAAACGGGTGTTTGATTAAATCTGGGTAAGAGGGGACACACACACACGAACACATGAAGCTGCCTTACACTGAATCAGACCCTTGGTCCATCAAGGTCAGTATCATCTGCTCAGACTGACAATGGCTCTCCAAGGGTCACATCACCTACTGTCTGCTCCTTTTAACTGTAGATGCCAGGGATAGAACCGGGGACCTTCTGAACAGCAAGCAGATGCTCTGCCATTGAGCCATGGCCCCCCACCCACGGAGGAGGTGAATTCAGAGGTGAGGGAATACCTTACTCTCCCCAGGTGCATGTACCGCCATCTCTCTCTCCTCTTTTTACTCTCTTCTCCTTTTTTCTTTCTAAAAAGAGGCCAGGCTCACAGTCATCAAGCCAAGCGCCCAAAAGCAGGAAACAGTTCAAGGGACAGGGGAGATGGACAAGGAGAAACGGCTGGCAGACATTTCTACTCTAATTCTGCCTCCATGTTCAGAGGCAGTGACAGCTTTCCCGAAGAAGGCTGCTATTCCATGAATAAAACGTATAACCAATTTCTCTTTTTACACAAGGCTTTTTATTTGAAAATTAAAAGCTCCATTAACAACTGTAACTTAAAAACACTTAGCAATGTAGTGATACCAGTATGTATTATACATAATCTGTACTAGTGAATCTGATTTACTTAGAAAGGAAAACTCTACATGTACAAGCTGCCTTAAAATAAATTCTTCATTGCCCAGGTGTGACAAGTTATCCTTGGAAAGCAATTCTCCAGTGTAATCCAAGAGTTCTTATTGATGTGAATAGAAGTACTGTTAAAATTTAGCCACAAGATCCAAATGACAGTGTCAATTAATATGTGAAGAGTAATATGCTGATGGTTTATATTTTCCATGAAGGATGGCTCCTTTACCCACTAAGTAAAGTGGTTTCTCTTCTAGTGACGTTAGAGGGAGCTAACTAATCCAACACACGTACAATTTGTATACTATCCCAAGAACTGAGTTCAAGGGGCAACATGTTTACTTATTTTCTGCAGCCACTTCCTTGCAAGTAAAACAGTTTGTATTCTAATGCATCTAAACAATCAAAGCACAATCTGTGAATCAAAAATGTCACCTGTAACATTTTGACAAAGAGTCCTAGACATGATCAATGGGGGAAAAAACTGTCATCAATAAAGCCCCTGTTTATCCTATTAGCTGTTGTCACAAAATTTGCTTTCTATTAGCTGTCTTTTGGGGAAAGCTCGAAGAGTCGGACTCGACTGTGCGACTGAACAACAACAACAAAACAAACTTTTCCTAAGTAAAGGTACAAATACTAGAGAGAATTTTTTTTAAGTCACCTGTACAAGAACAAAGAACAAAAAAAAAAAGATTATTAGAACAGACTGCAAACCAACAAAAAATAGCTTATGGTATATAAGTTGCATTTTAAAGGAGGGGCAAATTTTTGTTGTTGTAGTACATCTGGCCAATATGTTTAAAAATTGACTGCACTAAATTGAGACACTGAAGTACTTAAGGGAAGTGATGAAGCTGTGAGAATTACTCTCATCTACTGAGATCACCTAGCATAGGTCTACCTTCCAGGTCCTGTCACTATGAAGGTAGAACAGGTTTGAAGAGATGAGCATTTACAGCTACAGTCCTAATGCTATGGAATGAGCTCCCAGTAATAAACAGCTATCCTTTCTGGGCAGCACAGATGTTCATTCTCAAGAATATAAAAGTGTTTCAAAGACACATTCACTGCATTCCAAAGGAATTTCTTTTAGGACCGAGAATGTATAGTTAGACAGCTTCCTAAAGCCAGTCCTGACTTTAGGAAAAGGGTAAGATCCACCTGCAGCTGCAAAGCTCACTTTGGTTTAACCGCTGCTCTGCTTTAATAATTTTAAAGGCTATGTGTCAGCTATGCTGCCATGATGTTTATGGGCGAGAGTGCATCTGCTTGACCTGTGTACCAACTGATGCCGCATTCCTTTCTCCTTGCTTATCGATGACCTTGCTAGCTAGCTGTCTGTGTAGTGTCTTCCCATCTATTACCCATGGGATAGGTTTCGATTCCCAGCTTTGGCTTTAACGACCTGGGGCAGGCCAATTGGCCTAGGAGTGGGTGTGTGTGTGCGTACAGATACCCTATATCCCATTATGCTTGTAGGAAAGTAGCCATTCCTAACAGTGACAATGTTACTGCCTCTATAGCTCTTACAATAAAGTATAACCTTACGTTAAGCATGTACTCCTTTGTTTGGCTGTGGAACCTGACACTATGTTGGCATTATGAGCAGCAGTTTAAACCACATGTTGTCCATGAAATATATATTTTATTGTGTTATTTTTATATGTTGTGAAGGATGCTGCTTTGATTTGTCACATGCACAGAGAGATGGGATGTAAACCAGTCTAGGAATTATGTTACTAGAAGACCCGAAGCAGAAAACTAAAGAAAAGCCATGTTAAGTACA